CCTGAACTCTGGGCCTGGGCGCTGTCCCTCAGCTCTTCAGCTCAAGACTAGCGCTTTACCACTTGAGCCACAGCATCACTTCCGGCTTTTTTCTTTTTGTTTATATGGTGCTGAGGAATTGAACCCAGGGCCTCAGGCATGCAAGGCAAGCACTCTACCACTGAGCCACCTTCCCAGCCCAGTCTGTGTCTCTTATTTCCAATTAATCACATACAAAAAAACTGAAAGTGAAGCTGTGGCTGAAGTAGTAGAGTGCTGAGTACAAAGGCTCAGGGACAATGCCCAGACCCAGTATTCAAGATCTAGGACTGGCAAAAACAAAAACAAACAAAAGAACGAAAACCCTAGTTCCTACTCATGGAAAAAAAAAATGAACGATAGGGGCAGGGAAGGTGACTCAGTGGTAGAGTGCTTGCCTTGCATGCATGAGGCCCTGGGTTCGATTCTCCAGTACCACATAAGCCAAAAGAAAAAAAGCCAGAAGTGCTGCTGTGGCTCAAGTGGTAGAGCGCTAGCCTTGAGCTGAAGAGCTGAGGGACAGCGCCCAGGCCCAGAGTTCAGGCCCCAGGACTGGACCCAGAAAAAAAAAAAAAGAACAATATCCAGTATTGTAAACAAACATGTCTACCACTGTACCTTAAACCCACTACCTAGAGGTAGCAATTAAGATCACATTCTTGCATTTGTTTTTCTTTTTGTTTTGGTTTTTGGGTCCGGTCGTGGAGCCTGAACTCTTGGCCTGAGCGCTGTTCCCTTAGCTCTTCAGCTCAAGGCTAACGCTCTACCACTTGAGCCACAGTGTCACTTCTGGCTTTTTTCTTTTTGCTTATGTGGTGCTGAGGAATCGAACCCAGGGCCTCAGGCATGCAAAGCAAGTGCTCTACCACTGAGCCACCTTCCCAGCCCCAGGAGACTCTTATCTCCAATTAAACACTAGAAAACCATCAGTGGTACTGTGGCTCAAGTGGTAAAGTACTTGCCTTGAGCTGAAGAGCTCAGGGACAGCACCCAAGCCCCACTACCGACAAAAAAAAAAAAAAAGAGTTGATTGGTAACATGTTTTGGTCATGGGGCTTGTACTCCGGACCTGTGCACTGTCCCTGAGCTCTTCAGCTCAAGGCAAGCCCTCTACCACTTGAGCCACAGTACCACTTCCACTATAAAAATTTTAGAAAGCACAGATTATCTAAAAAAAGGAAATAATACTCATATCTACCTAGAGATTACCACTGCTCTTATATTCTTTTTGTGTGTATGTGTCAGATCTGGGGCTTGAACTCAAAAAAATCTCAGTGACAGGGGCTGGGAAGGTGGCTCAGTGGTAGAGTATTTTCCTAGCATGCATGAAGCCCTGGGTTCTATTCCTTAGTACCACAAAAGCAGAAAAAGCCAGGAGGGGTCCTGTGGCTCAACTGTAGACTGCTAGCCTTCAGCACAGAGAACTTAGGGACAGAGCCCAGGCTCTGATTCAAGCCCCAGGACTGGCAAAAATAAATAAATAAAAATTTTATAGTTAACTGTTTTATTTACACATATAAAATGTATTAATAATTTATCTATTTGTACTTTATTATTTTAAAACAATGATTATTGTTCCCTTTTTCAGATTTCCTGTGTTTTCTAAAATGTTTACAGTTAACTTGCATATAATTTATTTACAATTTATATTTGTGTACTTTTTTTTTCTTTTTTGCCAGTCCTGGGGCTTGAACTCAGGGCCTGGCCACTGTCCCTGAGCTTCTTTTGTTCAAGGCTAGCACTCTACCACTTGAGCCACAGTGCCACTTCCTGCTTTTTCTGTTTATGTGGTACTGAGGAATTAAACCAAGGGTTTCATGTATGCTAGGCAAGCACTCTACCACTAAGTCACATTCCTAGCCCATTTATGTACTTTTATATTTATTTATTGTTGGTCTTGGGGCTTGAACTCTGGGCTTGGGCACTGTCCCTGTGCTCTTCAGCTCAAGGCGAGCGCTCTACCGCTTGAGCCACAGTGCCACTTCCAGGTTTCTAGTGGTTAATTGGAGGTAAGAGTCTCATGGACTTTCCTGCCTGGGCTGACTTTGAACTGTGATCCTCAGATCTCAGCTTCTTGAGTAGCTAGGATTACAGGCGTGAGCCACCAGTGCCTGGCTCATTTGTGTACTTTTTAATCTATAGTATTTATTTATATTTATTATTTATTTGAGACATGGCCTTGCTGTTTGGTTCAGGCTATCTTTGGATTTGAAATCTTCCTGCCTCTGTCAGTCATCGAAATGCTTGGGTTATAGATATAACCCAGCATACCTGAAAACCTAATTATTAACCAAAACCCAAAGTTTCCTCTTGGTATTATACACTGTATGTGTTTGAATAATGTATAGTGAAATATATAGTATCAAGGAGAGGTTTACATTCCAGAAATACTGTTCTTGTTGTTTCCTCCCCAACTCCACCCCCCCTGCCCCTAGACTTAAACTCAGTATTTGAGGCTTGTTTTTTTTACTCACTAGCGGATGCTCTATGACTTAGCTACACCTCCAACTCAGTTGTTGTTGTTGTTTTTTAAGTGGCAAGGTGTTTTTATTATTGCTGGTTTGTCTGACCCTCCCTCCCTCCCC